TGTATATACTTATTTGGGTATATAAATGTGCATGTATAGACATAGATATGATTGTTTATATAATGGTAATTATATTTTATGTAAAAAGGACGGGGAGAGGAAGGAAGGGAAGGGGAAAAAGAGGGGAGAAAAAAAATTATGTCACTGTAAATGAGATACATACTTTGTTGCCTGATTTGAATACAAAAAGGGAAAAAAAATATTATTATTAAAAGATGTTTATACACAGAACTTTTTACAGAAGTGTCTAAAACTCCATAAAAAATGTGATTAAAGCAAAAGTATGTGGACATCTACGCATTATGCTGATATGTGATAGCTGGACATCTCTTATTTCCTTACTGTAGGCATTTCTCCAGATTTAGGAACCTTGCTGCACACAATTATTCTCACTCAGGCCCAACAACATGGACACTGTCATTATGAACTTTGCGGTCAATGAATTTCTTCTCAACCAAATCAGGGAAAAATTATTTTAGTGCTGGCTTGTGCATGTGGAATTAGTCACAATGAAGCCATACACAGAACTTTATCAATGGAAACCCATTAATGTCTTTATATACTTCTGGTTTTGGGTTCAATGTCATGGGTGATTATTTAATAGTTACAGCTCAATGATTTTCTTTAATAGTTTGCTGATTACTGCTTTTACTGCCACCTTCTGGTCAAGGAAGGAGAAACACAGCAAACAGGACAGAAAGGCGTGAGCGTCAATTCAATTTTTTTTTTTTAACTCAATTCAATTTAGTTCAACACCTATAAAAGTAAATCATATACAAGACTGTAATGATTGATAAAACATAAATAATGCCTACATTTCCATGTAAGTGTGATCCATTATTTCTTTGATTAAAGCTCCAGTCTGTTTCCATTTTTTAATAAAAATAAATAAATGCATATTTCATTCATTGTTAAATTTTTCATTCTGAAACTAAGTTCTTCTTTTGTGCAGTCTGTGCTGTATATCAGTACAAAGCAGAGAATTAAGAGTTGACACTTAGACTCCTCATCGATCCTCAGCTGGAGTTGACGCGTCAACCTGCGAGCGCCTCCGGTGTTATAACGCAGTCGGATCTCATGGGTGACAGACGGAGGAGATTGAGAAGTAAGAGGGAAAACTCAACATTGACCACAGCAGCACATCAGAGAAGATGTCAGAGGCATCAAAAATATTGATCCCTCAGCGCCCTTCTCACCTATGAGGATGTAGCTGAGATGAATGGGAGGATAAGGTTGTCCCTGATGGCTACACAGAGAAAGAGAAAATCTATCATGCCCCCTTTGATGTTCTTGATACAGGGATTGGAGAGTAAATAAATAAATAAATAAAAAAAAAAAAAAAAGAGAGAGACACAACGAGCCTATGTGAAGAAATGTTGAATAGCTTTCAGGTGTTTTCTTACAGTAGCTGCGGCTTCTTGTCTGCAGATTAGCTTAAGCAGAAGCCAAAAAAGCTCACGAATTAATTTCAGCAAACACATGAAAATCTTTTTGAAAAGGAGAAAATGTTTCAGCCAGCATTT